TTTTAGGTCAGAAGGCAACAGCGGTGAGAAGTGGACGTGAATGACGTCCGGGGACAAGCTTATGGAGATCTGGAGGATGCGCTTTCCCAGCAGAGGGACAATCATGGACAGGCCTTATTATAGAGTGAATTGTGTTTCCCTAAATATGGGTTGGGGCTCCAATCCCTAAACCATTGCTGACATCAGACGGATCTTGGCTGAAAGCAGAGAACACTAGAGAGATGTGTACTTGAGTTGACTTGTTATTGTTGACTTGTCATTGACGATGCAAAGGCATTGACTGTGATCATTACCAACTATGGAGAAGCTTGAGAAGAATGAGAGTTTCAAAACACTTCATGTGCTCAGGAGGAACCTATACATGGATCAAGAGGCAGCTGTGTGAACAGAACAGCATAGTTTAAAATCAGGAAACGCATGTGACAGAGTTGTATCCTGTTACCGTACTTCAAACTGTAGGCTGAGCAAATCATCAGAAAATCTGGATTATATGAAGAAGAATGTGGCATCAGGATGGGAGGAAGGTTCATCAACAACCTGAGATATGTAAGTGACACAACTCTGCTTGCTGAAAGTGACAAGGACTTGAAGCACTTGCTGTTGAAGATCAAAAATTGCAGCCTTCAGGATGGATTACAGCTCAATGTAAAGAAGATCCAAATCCTCACCATTGAACCAATAGGTAACAGCATGATAAATGGATAAAAGGTTGAAGCCGTCAAGGATTTTTTAGTCTTGATTGGATACACAATCAATGCTCATGGAAGCAACCATCAAGAAATCAAAAGATGTGTTGTATTAGGTAATTCTGTTACATAAGACCTCTATAGAGCTTTGAAAAGCCTGAAGGTTACTTTGAGGACTGACATGGGCCTGCCCAAGCCACAGTGTTTTCAGTTGCCGCATATGCATATGAAAGTTGGGCACTGAACAAGGAAGGCTGAATAAGACTCTATGCATGTTTGAATTGTGGTGCCGACAATAAGGACATTCCCCACAGACTGCTAAAAGGACAAACGTGTGTCTTAGAAGAAGTATGGCTAGAGTCTGTGTACCTTAGAGGCCACGATGGTGAGGTGTTTTGGACATTGTTGTCAGCAGAGACCAATCCCTGGAGGAGGATATTTTGCTTGGTAGAGTAGAGGGGCAGCGAAACAGAGGAAAGCACTCACAAGATGGATCAACACAGTGGCTGCAACAATGGGCTCAAGTGCAGGAACAATTGTGAGGATGGCTCAGGGCAGGGCAGTGTTTCGTTCTGTTGTGCAGAAGGTCACTATGGGTCAGAATTGACTAACTTGCACCTAACAACAGCAAGAACAAACCTGTGGATGCAATCCTGTTTGGGAATAGGGTTTTCTTTGTTATGTTAACAAGGTCATATTAGTCTAGGCTGTGTTCTAAACTTATCACTTCTAATTATATAAAAAGAGCAGATAAGACACACCAGCATGCACTAACTAGTGAAGGCAGATGCTATGTGAGGATAACTAAGAACTAGAGGATGCTGGGTTCTGCTGGCAAGGAGGATAGAAATTGACACCGTTGTGACCCTGAATTGGACTTTTAACTTCCAGAACTGTGAGGAAATACATTTCTGTGGTATATGTTTTACAGCAAATACAGTTAGGTAACTAAGCTAGGCCTTGAGACAAATAGGAGAGCATATCACAGAGGTAGATCTGGACCAGCTCATCTTGCCTTTTGTAGGCTATCATATTTTATTTTGATAAGATGTGAATCCACTGGGAATTTTAAGCAGAATATGACATGATTTGATTTATAATTTTGAAGAATCATTCTAGATTCTATGTAGAAATTCAATTGCAGGGGGATAAGAGAGGAAATCAGGACAGAAACAAGATATCTATGCAATTGTCCATGTGAGAAAGGACCAATAAGAAATAAATTTTAAAAAAAAATGAAAGAAATTCAAGTAGTCTAACCTAGAGTTTAAAGATTCAAATCTACCACGGTAATCCAGCAGAGTTTGGGAAGGGGTGACCATTATCAAAGTGGTGAAACAGGGCTTTATTTAAGGGAAAGCTTCACAAAAGCCCCCATGACCAGACCTAAAGCAATGTAATCACAATCAATCAGCTATAAACCTCAAGAATGGGATAAGATGAGGGAGGCAAGCAATACCCTTGCTCAGGTCACAGCCCTGGTAAAATTAAAAGGACGTTTCCTCGCGAGTTGGCTTTCTTCTGATGTAAGTGGCTCATTGACCTCTAATTCAGACTTGCGTCAATGGCCTGCTACATGGCCTGCAGATCCTGGGGGTCATCAGTGACCTATCAGCCGATCTAGGGGCCTTGGATTCATTTGACTCTGTAGCCACCAGCCTTTGTCTTCCTGCCTATCACCAGCCCCCACAATTTCATGAGTCAAGAGAAGCTTCTAACCGAACATCTGACCCATGGACTTGGACCTGAACTTGGACTTGTCTCCTAAACCATGTGAGCCATTTCCTTGATATAAACTTCTGTTGACAAATACAGACATAAGCATGATTAGTTTTGCTTCTCTAGAGAACCCAGCCCAAGACAGACCGTAATATTATTTCTAGAGATACAAAAGTAGAAAAGGGAATATTATGTATATAGGAATCACTTCTAGAATTAGTTCAATGGATGTTTTATTCTTTTCCTTTTAGTGTAGATAATTATATTATTACGCTCCTTTGTATACTTGAATCACTCTGAATCGGCAAAAGTGTAAAATTTCTATCATTAAAAAATCAGTTTGCTGTCAGCCAGCAAATTGCATCAGGTAACTCCCTTAGAATCAGTGGTTGATATTGATTTTTTTCCCCAATTTTGGGAAGAAGGAATTCTAGTCCCTTGAGGAAAGAAGGGAGCATAAACCACAGGACAATCCTATAGGTCCAGGTACCACATCTGCTGCCCCTTTATTCCATAGGAAGGAGTTATAATGCATCTGCGTACATGCCCTCCAATTTCACCTCACCTGAATTTTTCACCCTTTTAGTTCTTTTCTTAGAGTCCCCATTGTAGACAGACACAAGGTTAAGTGGCTTCCAGCAGAGGTCAAGTCTGTCCCCAAGAGCCTACAGAATAAATTTTAAATCTTTTAGCCTGGCACAAATGGACTCAATTTATCTTTCTGCTCTCTGTCTTCTTACAGCCCCCCTCCCACTTTTTTACTCACATTGGATTTTAATTCACAGTTTCACTAATTATTCCCTTAATAGGTGTAGCAATTCATTGCCTATTTTTATATGGTTGCTGCTGACCTCAGAAATGCCTTACCCTTGCCTTACCAATTAAAACCTGACATCTCTTGAGAGACCAGTGCTCAGATCCTACCCTCTTTCTTTAGTCTCCTCTGAATCCTTATCAGGAAACAGAAGGTCAACTCTGTTGCTAGGTAACGCACTGCTTACAATAAAAATGATGCCTGCTTGGTAAATTGCATCTGCACTGGGAGGATTTACACATGAACTATAAATATCTGATGGGGATAAGACACCTCTGGCTTCCATGAGTGTGGAGATGCTTGTCCCTAGGCAGAGCCCTTGTAGGAGACCTGGAGGCCAAGCCAAGGAAGTTGCTACAAGGGATAAGATAAGGGCCAGAAGGCTTCTGTATTAGTCTAGGTACTTTAGAGAAACAAATCCACAGCAACTCATGTATAAGAGAGTTTTATGTAAAGAAAGTGTGCATCACGAAAACATCCCAACCCAATGCTGCCCAAGCCAAGTCCAACATTAACCCATTAACCCAACACCAGTCCACAAAGTCCTCCACCTCACAAAACAGAGGCAATGATGCCGACTGCAGGAGGAAAGCTGAGTCGGTGAATGAATAAGCATCTCAGCACTAGCAGGGGTCTCCATACGGCTGCTCCAGCACCCAGGGCTGCATCGGGATAGGTCCATGTGGCTTCTCCTTGGGGATGTCTTGTAGGAAGTCAATCTTGCAAGCTGAAGCAGGGAACTGCTAAGGCAGCTGCACCCTGGTGCAACCATCACAAAACAAGAGACCTGAGAACTAGAAAGGCGAGGCTCACCACGCATTTATCCCTCCGTCTTTCAATTAGCCCCACATGTGATTATCGGCCAGGTTGGCACCATTAACTAACTCAGCTTCTAAGGTTGGGCAAGTCCCACACCCAATATAGATTCTGTCTTCTTTCTCCTTTAGAGTCACTGGAGCAACGTGGGCGGGGCTGACGTGTAGCAATGGCAAAGCTGCCATGGCCTGTTCTGGGTTCCATAGTACCCTCCAGAACTTCAAGTCCATCCACCACCTCAGAATAGGGTCTGATTCAGAAATTAGTTCCAATGAAGTCAGATTGAAATGGGGTTAGGTCCTAAACACAGGCATGGGTGTCCTTATAAGAAGATCAGGTGTAGACACGCAGGTGAAAAAAAGGCTGATGACAACAGAGGCAGTGAGGGGACGGATTCAGCTGAATGCCAAGGAAGACCCAGCACTGCAGGCAACCAGATGCTAAGAAGAAGTAAAGATGCAGTCTCCTATGGAGTCTTCATAAACGTCGGTTGTGTTAGCCCTGCCAATGTTCATACATGTGTTGCTGCAGCCCTGGAAACCAGCACAAACTCTAACCGACTCTGCTGGCAGGTGGTGTTTCCTGTGCTCGCAACAAGGTCAATCCTGAGTGACACAAATGGTGAAGCACTTGACTACTACGTGGACAGTTGGTTTTTTTGAACTCACCCACAGGTGCCTTGTGGGTGATCTGCTCCCCAAAGGTCAAAACCTCCACAACCTTATCGGGCATTCTCCTCCGCACACGTGGGTCCTCACAAGCTGGAATCCACGTGACATAGCTGAACCCCAATAGGTACATTCAGCACCTCGTGTTTCCCATTGTCGTTTTGTGAGTGGAACCTACGAAAATCTCTTCTTGGGCATTGCATCAATTGGTAGAAATGCTGTCCTAAATACGCTAATAGCCTTTGCATGACTAAGCTAAGAATTATACTAACAATTAGGTAATAAAACATTTCTTACCTTTGGAAGGAGCTGGATTGCCTGTAGAATTCTTTGTCTGTGCCCAGAATTAAGGATTCCAATTTCCAACAGATCCTGATCTTCCATAACATTGCTTCCCTGAAACAAAATCAGAAATGTTATATGTTGGTCCAGTCAATTTTACTGTAGGAAAAGAATAGTTGTCTTCACACAGAAGCAAACAAACAACAACAAAATTCCAACATGTTTAATTTTTCTAAGAAGAGACGGAGAATTATTCTTTTAATAGAATTGGTCACCTGTGACCTTGTTTCCCTTTTCACAAATACCTCTATGATTTTATGGTAGGATGGTCGACATTCATTCCTTTGACTTAAAATTCTATTCCTATAAACATATCATCACTTCTAGGAGGAGGTGCCAGTTAGGATTTATCGGTGCCTTAAACTTTAATGTGAAAGAATTGATCAACTTTTGTCCCCTTAGAACACATTTAGTGAGGGTGGGTGATATATAAATTGAAGTATACCAGGAAAGTTGGATGTGAGAATTCATAGTAAATATAAAGACATTGCTTGCAGACACCTGATCCAGATGTGGGGATATAACAATGAGTAATTTGCAGGTCCTTACTCATAGCTGCCTTCATTCCTTCCATTTCTAGAAAGGAAATGGCTTAAATGTGCCAGGGTGGTAGCCAGAGGGGATGCTTAGGAGACCAGAGGGGATCTGAGATAGGTTTTCACAAGAGAGAAAGTAAGATGCTCAGAACTTAGCAGACTTTTAAAAGAGTAAGGGCAAACTACAATGACCTATGGATAGGAAACACGGTGTACTTGGAAACATTGAGTTCTGAGATAAGTTGGAGAGAAGAGCAAAAGGTGAGGCTCTAAGATAAGCAGAGACCAGTGTATACAAATATTGTGTGCTGTGCTGAGGAATTTATACATCAACCCAAGTGCAAGGGGAAGCCAAGGGCAAGTTCTAAGGAAAGGCGCTACATGCTGAGATTCCAAATTTAGGAAGACCACTTGGGTTTCTGTGACGCTGTCTTCCTTTCGTTACCTCTAAGGTGAACCAGATGGTTTCTAAGGATCAATTCAGTCCTGCAGTTCTCCGATAACAACAGTTTAAGAAAAACAAACCTCTGATTAATATTTTAATACAGAACTTTATAGATTGCTTATTTTGTCTCTAAACTTTAGCCTTTCTGCATTGGTAACCTAAAATTCCCCCTTAAATATAGAGACATTTAGAGCAGCTCAAACAATTTTTTTCTTGACAGGCCAATCTGTGTCCTATTAATGTGACTAACAGAGCATTAATGCAATATAACACAAAAAACCATGTGATGCAGAATTCTTTTGTCATGGGAAATGATTGATGGTGGTGGACATTCAGAGCAAGGGAATGGATTCGGAAGGTAACCCTAGGTGCATGAAGCGTAGGGGAAGCTGCTGAAGTAGAGACGTTGTGGACTTGGACCAAGGAAATGGCAGGGGGACTCAGCGTGAAGAGGACGGATGTGAAAGCTATGAAGAAATTTAATTTGCTGATTGAATGCAAGAACTGATGGAGAAATGCAGAATGCGAACAGACTCCAGGCTCAGGTCATGGGGGGTGGGGGGGTGGGTCTTTGATGCCACGGTGATTAAGGAAGAGGAGCAAAGTAAGTTGTGTGGAGTAAAGTGAGAAGACTCTTTCCTTGGATGGGACAGAATGGGTGAATGCAAGCAATTAATATAGGCTACATTACAAAAGCAGAATTGAAGGTGATTAGCAGGATTCAAGCCACTCGTGAGGTATGATAGCCAGGGGTTTAAAATGGGCATTCAGCGGACACAAACCTTTCACCTACTCGTGGTATCCCTCCTGTGCCTAAGCTACACTGGCTGTCTCAGAGGACGCAGAACGATCAGGTATAAAGCAGCATGGTAATGAAAAGCCTAATGAAAACCAAATACAGCCAGTCTTGGCAAGATGCCACAGGAAACATTGCTCTCCAGAAATTACTCCATGCACACAATAGCGTGTGGCTAAGCATATAAATGACTCCATTTGGAGAAAGCGTTATTATTTTCAGAAATGGACCAGTGTGGCATGAGCTGGGTAGATGATATCACTTATACTCTTTGAGGGATTTTGCAAAAGGAGTCGCCTGTCTTTAAAAATCAAAAAGTGTATCCATTTTTGCCAGAACCTTACCAAGTTTTCCAAATGCTAAATTACCAGCCCATAACTTCTGCTAAAGGAAAATAGAGTAACTATTTCTCTGCACACCTGTAAAGCATACTAGGAGCCCACAGTCCTTATTAACAGCTTCCTGTAAGTAATTCTGAAAGTTTGATTTCAATGTTTGAGTTCTGTGATTATTTGAACAATAAAATTCTTCTGGAGTGCTAGGATTCTTCTAAACCAGCACTTCTCAAGCTGTAGGTTGCAACCCCTTTGGGGGTCAAACGACCCTTTCACACGGGTTGCCTGATTCATAACAGCAGCAAATTTACAGTGATGAAGTAGCAACAAAAATAATGTTATGGTTAGGGGTGGGGGGAGTCACCACAACATGAGGAATTGTATTAAAGGGTCGCGGCATTAGGAAGGTTGAGAACCACTGGTCTAAACCAACAGGATGCCCTCTCTACCTTCAGTAAAGAAAGAGGTTTCTTAAAGATTTGTTGGAGAGCTAGACATTTCTAAAGAAGATGTTCAGGGCACGGATCCTCCTGTCTTTGGGCAAATTTCTTAGCATACAGGATAATTACTGAATCCTTTTGAGAAATGAATGAAAATGATGGGGAGCCCAATTCAAATTGTAAGACTGTGCTCAAAGAGGAAAGGTGCTAATTGTAAAATGTAAAGAAAAGAATTCACTGTACCCCCTGAGGTAAGTTATTAGAATTTGTCTATTCCTTTTCTTTTGGAGATATCTATATCTATATATATCCCAGTGCATCATCCAGCCTGTCTTTCATCAAAACAGTACTGGGCTTGGAGTCTGAAGATGGGATTGGCTCTAAATGGATACATTTGATAAAGTCAAATAAGTTTCTATATCTCATGGTCCTCATCCATAACCTGAAAAAGTTTAATTCGGCTTTAAAATGCTGTAATTTTACATGCAGTTTTTGATTAATATAATTATATATAAGCACACAGATTGTATATTTTGAAACTATATTTTAATGGCTCACAAACTTGTTAAATTTAAGAAGCAATTATAGATAGAGAAATTCAAGAATGTGTTCTTTATTTTTGACAAACCATTCTTGGTAGTGTGAACTTCTAAAAAATTCCTTGTTAAAGGAAATTATGTTGTTATTATTAGTTATTGCTAAGTCAATTCTGACTCATAGTGACCCCATATGTGCAGGGTCGAGTGGCTTCTGAGAGTTTGCCAGCTGTGACCACTAGGTTTGTCTCCCAAGGCACCTTTGAGTGGGTTCGAATCACCAATCTTTGGGTCAGTAGTTGAGTGCTTAACCTTTTGTGTCACCCAGAAACTCCAAAGGAAATTCCAAAATAGCTTGGTTTTATCCTATTATTAACAATATCAAGTATTTCAAACCTTCCCCCTTTCTAAGCATTTCTTTTGCATTTGGGTAACAGTTACTTTTGCAAGGACAACAAACATCCCCATTTTCCCTGGGAGCTCGAATTTCTTCTCATATTATCACTTGCCTTCCCTAAATGATAGAGAATCACAGCTTAACTACATGCCCCACCCCCTCAATAAAAGCTGAGGATAAACTCCAGCTCCTTCCCTCTATACCCATTTTTCATACGCTGTCAGATCAAAGGCTTTTGGAGCAGAGCGTTAATGATGTCTGCCTTCTGCTTCACCACCTATCATGTTGCATTCTCTACTTTCTCACCTGACCTCTCCGGTAGACTTGTTGCTTTGACGCCCTCAGCACCCCTCAGCGCCCCTTGGGCTACAAACCACAAGGTCAGCAGCTCAAAAGCACCAGCCGCTCTGCAGGAGGAAGATGAGGTACTCCCATAAAGAGACACAGAGCCACTTCTATTCTCCCCTGTCCTATAGGGTCACTCTGAGTCGGCACTGATTCGATCAATGGCAGCGAGTGTGTTGTTCTGGTTTTATTGATGCATGGACTTTCTCTGACAAATGTAGAGAATGCCCTCTCTGTTGCCAAATCTAGTTGATACTTCTCAGTTCTTATTTTACTGGATCCCTTGCCAACACTTGCCTCTTTTAACACTCCCTTTCTTTTTGAACCATCTCTTAGCTACTACTGTCTGTTGGTATTACTTTTTCTTTTTGATCTCTCCTTTTGACTGTCCAAAGTGACATTTTCTAGCATGATTCTTCATGTACAACAGCCAATATGTAGTTGATCCAGAATCGTTGGTCTAAACATGCCTCTCAAGCTCCAGAATCATGGACGAACTGATCCTGTGACATCTCCACCTGGCGCCTGCACTTACATCATAAGCTACAGATGGAGCTCAGTAAGACAACAGCAAAAAAACCATGGCAACAAAAGAACAGAAAACTTTATTAACAAAAGATGTCAAAATATGAAGCTCCTGTTTCTTGGCATATTCTATGTTTATAATACACTTCCGAAGAGAGAACTTCCCTTTCTCTATCCCTTCCCTGAAGATTTCTGTGCTCTTCAATTCGAATCAAGCCAAAATGACAGTGTTGGTATTTTTGAAGGGACTCAAATCATACTCTTTGTTACTATTTGTTGAGTTTGGGGAACAAAACCAAATCGGAAGGGGCATGATCAGGACTCTCTGGCAGATTCGGTAAGGTTTCTGCATGGAATTCCCATGGGACAGTCTTTGCTAGTCTTGTGAATGAGCAGCTGCACTATCATGATAGAGTAAACACAGTTCCTCAGCATACTATTCCTGGCCTTTTTCTCACCAATGCAGTTTTCAGTTTTCCTAAAAGATCTTCCTGATAAGTCCCCATAGTCATCCAGTGTCTTTTGAGAAAATCTATCAGGACTATTCGCTTGGGAATCTCAAATATCAGTCACCATAATCATATGATCTGATCTTTCCACCAAGAATTTAAATGGCCTAGCATATCCCCTAAGAAGCCACTGTTCTGATTGAAACTTGTTGTCTGGATCATATTGGTAAATCCTAGACTTGTCTCTCAT